TTCAGTTCCCAGCATTCTCGGGGGGGGGGGAAGAAGACGCCATGATGGTGGACCCCACTTCCTCTGCATCAATCAGGTGGAAGTCTTGAAAGGTCCATCGGGGGAGAGTTCAGTCAGGGTTTGTTGTGTGCCTTCAAGTCATTTCTGACCTATGGAGCCCCCAAAGGCAAACCTACCCGGGGTTTTCTTGGCAAGGTTTGTTCAGAGGAAGTTTACCATGGCCTTCCCCTGAGGCTGAGAGCATGTGAGTTGCCCAAGGTCACCCAGTGGGTCGGTCAGAGTCAGAAATGGACGACAAATTTTGCTCACCTCAGAAACGCTCTTCTCTTGACGGTCTTGGTGAATGGTGGATAAGGACCCCCAAAGCTAGGCTCTCACCTGGAGGGCCACTTGGCATATAAATAAAATAAATAATTTCTTCTCCTTCTCCTCCTCCTTCTTTGCAGGAAGAACTATTGCACAGATGCATTCCTGCATTACCAGGGATGGGATGGTTGAGAGACACATTACAAGGAAACAGAAATGATTTTTGTCAGACTTGATGGATGGGTTGCATGTTTTGCTTTTCTGAAGAGGAGAAGGAGCAGGTGTTTATTGACAGAGAGATAGGCCAAGGAAAGTCTCAGTATTATCAAAAAACAAAAAGCAGGCATACTCGGGTGGGAAAAATGTCACTGCCAAAGACTTTGGGTAGCACTGAGTCCCTCCTGACTTGATGGAGTGCCATTTTTCTGGGTCTTTTTTTAAAGGTTGAGGGGCAAATTCCCTCTCCCCAAAGGTTCTCAAGAGAGAGCAAGGGTGGCATAGTGGATTGAGTGTTGGACTACGGTTCTAGAGACCTGGGTTTGAATCCTCGCTCAGCCATGGAAACCCACTGGGTGACCTTGGGCAAGTCACATGCTCTCAGCCTCAGGGGAAGGCAGTGGCAGGGCTCCACTGTACAAATCTTGCCAGGAAAACCCCATGATAGAGTCGCCTTAGGGTCACCATAAGTCATCTTTTTGCACACAATTCACCTTTGAAAAACATTGCAATTCTTCTCCACTGTTTAATGTTTTTTAAAAGCCTATTTTTTTCCAAAACCAGAAGTGTACTTCCACCCACTTTCAGTTTCATTTTGTTTTTGCTTTTTCATATAGGACATTTTTTTTGGGACAGTCCAGGCATCCCTTCCCCCAGAGGACCTTCAGAGCAAATAAATGGTTTCGGACCCATTGCAGTTGTCCATCTGTGTGGTATACACATTGTTGCCCGGATCTGTATAGATAGAAAGGAGTTGTCTTTTGTACTGAAAGCACTATTATCCTGTGCAGTGCACTGCCATGGGATGTTGGATTGGACCAGTAGCAATGAGAGCCAGTGTGGTGTTGTGGTTTAAGTGACGGACTGTGACTCTGGAGACCAGGGTTCAAACCCATGAAAACCCACTGGGTTGGACTGGATGGCCCTTGTGGTCTCTTCCAATTCTATGAGAAGCTTAAAAGTCACACTCTCTCAGCATCAGAGGAAGATAAAGGCAAACCCTCTGAACAAATCTTTCTTTTTTTAAAAAAACCCTTGTGATAAGGTTACTTTAGGGTCGCCATAAGTTGGAAACAACTTGGAGATATACAACAACAGTAATGTTCCCTTCCCCTTGTCTCAAAAGGATGATGAATATATGGATGGGTAAACTGTGGTCACTACAGATGGAACATCCATTTTCATAAATACACTTGCCAGATTCCACTCCTTTTAGCTTGTGCTGTGGATGAAAAATAGATTAGACTGTTGAAAATAGATGAACTTTTGGCAAGAGATGTACTGTATGTGGAAGTTTTTGCCTCAGTTACAGTTTCTGGGGAAATTAGGAGGGTTGTTTTGGACTACAGCTTTCAAAAACCATTGGCCAGCATGGCGGATGGCTGGGGATTCTGAGAACTGCAATCCGAAAATGATGTTTTCCAAGTGCAGCATTAATATAGAACAAAGGGTTGGCAATCATTAAGTCCCATTTGCCCCAGCCAGCATGGCCAGAGTGAGGAATCAAGGGGTTTGTCAACATCTGGAAAACACCCATTTGCTTGCCCTTGGGGCTGAAGTGTAGAAGAATCTGCGGCAGGGTATGGGATATGTGCTTGGAGAAGAAGATTACATAGATGAATAAATAGGGAAAGATGTTCTGGGCAAATATCTAGGTTGATGAATATGAATTATAACACTGAAGTGGCTTAAAGGCAAGCACACAGTTCATTTGGCGTTCTCCACCACTGAGTAGCTATATTGCTTCCTAGTGACATCTGAAAATTTTGGATCTGCAACTATGGGCCCTGTGACACAGTTGTAGGCTGGCCTGCAGAGATTTAAGAGAGATCTTGGCATTGGTTGTGTATAGGATTATCAGACTGGAAACTGGAGAGGACTCCTGTGCCTTAAAGAATTTCAGCAGGTGTTGCTTGTCAAACAACCAGGTAACATGCAACACCTGCTGAAATTCCTTCTTCAACACAACATTAAAGGTGCAAGAGCCCTCTCCAGTTTTCAGTCTTGTGACCCCAGTTGTGTATTTCACATGAACAAAGCTACACTTTCCTTGCATGGCCTCTGTCCCTCCATATTTCAGACATTTATGGAATTGGTCCTGGCTCCTAAGCAGTGAAGAGAAGGCACTCTCTATATGCTCAGAGGCACCACAGGATATAAAGTGGGAGGATGAACCTTGTTGTGAACCTGAGCAGGGAAGTGGCCTGAGGGAAGGAAATGGAAGCTGCTATGGGTGTGGCAAGTGCATGTGGGTCTTGTGTGTATATAGGATGAATACTGTGCTGGAAGACAGCTATATTATGCAGGGCTTGTACACTGCTTGAATGGGTGGATCTCAAACCCCCATAACACACAACACACACACTTTATCAGCTGCCAACATACTTTTTTATTTGCATTGCAAATCCTTCCTCACCTGGGAGGGAAGAGGAAGCTTTGGCCATTTTAAGTATCCAAGGCCTAGTGAGACAAACAGCCATTGCCTCCCATTTCCCTCACAAGCAGCCACCCAGTTGCCCTTTCTTCCTACTTTGGGGCTGACTCTCTCATAGTACTAGAACCTGGGATCCACCTACAAAAGCTGAATGATGCTTGATTTAGGACAAATTAAAGAGGACTTCTTCATACCATTGTTATTGTGTGCCTTCAAGCTGTTTCAGACTTATGGCAACCCAAAGGCAAACCTATCATGGGGTTTCTTTGCAAGATTTGCTCACAGGCAGTTTGCCACTGCCTTCCTCTAAGGCTGAGATAGTGTGACTTTCCCAGTACGTTTCCATGGCTTGAGTCCAATACTAATGTATTTGTCCAGCACTCAAACCACTACATCACACTGGCTCTCCTCTTTTTCACATCATACGTAGTGAAAATGGGTAATGTACTGCCAAATCTTGCAGTCAACTTGAACAGCTGGAAGTGGGCAAATCCATGCAAACAGGGCCAATGGGTGGCTACTAAGTGCAGCAAAAACAACAAAAGGTCTCGAGGCACCATAAAGACTAGCTTGTTTTATTTGGCATAAGCTTTTGTGGTTCACAGCCCTCTTCACCTACAAAAGCACATGCCAAATAGAGTTTTTTAGCCTTTTCAGAGAGCCAGTGTGGTGTAGTGGTCTGAGCGTTGGATGGAGTATGGCTTGATTCCCCGGCTCAGCCACAGAAATCCACTGGGTGACCTTAGGCAAATCACACTTTCTCAGTCTCCAAGGAAGGCTATGGCAAACCTCCTCTGACGAGATCTTGCCAATAAAACTCCAGAAGAAGGGTCACTTGTAAGTTGGAATAGACTTGAAGATGCATAACAACAGTAACAATTTTTAAGATGCCATGAGACTCTATGGTTTTTGCTGCAACAACCCAACATGGCAACTTACTCATTCTCTCTAGTGATAGAAGGCATCCGCATTTGTACATCAGGTGCTGGAGAGCATGACTGGTGTGTGGGTGTGTTCAGTTGTGCTTATGTCCTGCTGTTGGGCTTCCCGTGGGCAGGTAGTTGGCTACTGTGAGAACAGCATGCTGGACTAGATAGACCTTTGGTCTAATCCAGCAGGGCTCTTCTGTTCAGGCAGGCAGATGCACTTTCCTTGATGATGTGTGGCTGCATGTGTGAAAAAGCGCCACAAAAAAAGTCTTCTGAGGTAGCATGAATCCATGACCTTCTGCATGCAAACGACTTGCTGTGTCCTAAATCTAGGTCCATTCAAAGCTGCTTTCTCTTGGCAAAGGAACATTCTTTCATGAACAATTTCCAGAATCCTGCACAGTCTTTCTAGAAGTTGTAGTCCAAAAAAACTAAAAGCTTTTCTAGGCAGTACTTCTAACAGGTCAGATTGTTTCCTCAATTAACCTATTGTCTGCTCATACTGAACCAAGGAATGTAGCAGAGATGTGTCTTGCATTTGAAACCATGTATTCCTAGGTCTTTTTAACTTGAGATGGTGGGAACTAAGGTTGGTATGTTTTGCATCCGAAGCAATTGTCCTTTCATGGTGGTACCCAACTTTTCCATATCATATAATCTGCAGTAATTTCTTCATATGTAGAAGATATCCCTTGAAGTTGCAGTCTTCCAGTAGTGAACAATATGTGTGAACAACATATCCTGAACACTTTCTGGGAAGAATTGAGGTCATCATTTCACATAAGGATGTGGGAGACCATTCAGTTTACATTTTAAAGTGGTCTTACCTGATTCATACATCCTGAGCAGATAATCCAAACACAAATGCAGTCTTCCTTTTCCAAATCTTTGAATGCGGCTCTCTAGTTAAGCACAAGGTGTACAAAATGGCTATGATAAAGTCTGCAGAAGAAATATGTATATTAGTGAAATTACAAAAATAAACTTTATTGGGGAAATTATTCACTATACTGTGCACATCAGAAGTGCATAAAACATGTGTAACCAAGTTGTTTATGGACATATAAAACTAAACTTGACAGATTTGGCCAAACCCTAAATTTTAGGTATTCACCTGTTGCTGAATACTTTGCCCTTAGATAGTGTGAGATTTTCCTTCCTTTCCTCAAGAAGAGCAATGGAAAGATTCACATGTTTGCTATTATTTCTGTTTCCCTGCAGGATCTCAGCTCCTGTGCTGAGATGACCCCTCCGCGCCCCTCGCGCCCGCACCGCCATGGACACCTCCTCTAACTCTGCCTCCCCCTGTTCCTCCACTGCTGTCCCTCCAGCTGATGGTCAGGATGACAGGGCCATGGTTCGGCCCCCTCAGGGCTCTCCTGCCTCTCCAGCCACCAAAGAACCCCCCCTCTCAGACCCTTCCTCCTCTGCCTCCCCCACTCCTGACGAAACCATGAGGCCCTGCTCCAGTTCCCAAGCAACCCTCAGTTCTGCAAAGCTCCCGGCAGCCATCTTGTCCACATCACAGCTCCAAGCGGACTGTGGCCTAGTGACACGAAATCAGTCCCCCTCCCTACAAGCAGCGTCCCCTGAAGAAGATGGGAATAAGCAAGAAGCAGAAGATGGAGATGAGGAAGAGGATGGCGGACGCAAAGTCCAGCTCTTCTTCTCCGCCGAAGGCTCAGCCTATCTCCTCAGTGGTGGCCATGTTCTCTTACCAAAGGGCTCCCCTAGCACCACAGCTCCCCCAGTGTCCATCCTCCACGTCCAGTGCGGTGGAGGCCCTAACCAAGGCTTTATGTCTACTGACCAAATGTCCCAGAATACCTCAGCGCCAGGCGAGTGGACTTCTCATGGCGCCTTCTACAGTTACCGACTGGCCGGGCCTGCCGCTCGAACCACATCTGCCAAAAACACTCCCACCAAACCCAAAGATTCCCCCACCGCCCATGGGGAGGATGAGGAAAACCCCAAAGGGG